TAAAAACTTATCTTTACAGATTGGAGGAACACCTGCAGTCATTCGCTACCTCTTGGAGCAAGGGTTTTTAGATAGGGATTGCATGACTGGTACTTCCATAATCATTGTAGGCGTTTTCTTCTTTTTAATCATAAAATTGACTTAAAATTTTGTTATCTTCTAATAACCAGGAAGACACTGGTAGAAAATGCAAAAGATTTCCCTGCTTTGGCTGAAGGACAGGTTAGACAGTAGATATTTAAAAATGTACAAATTGTTTTTCCTTTCTATCCTTGGTGCACTTTGAAGGTGAATACTTCTACCTTACTGTCATTTTATATAGTAATACTTCTACCTTATTCTGTTTACTTCTTATTTAGCAAATTATAAGACCATTACAGAACCTCATTAAGGCAACAGGCCATATCCAGATATTTAATTTATTTGCTATTTTTTTAACAATGTAATTTTATATTTTTAATTTGTAATTATATTGATATTTTTTTATATTTTATTAATTTATTCTATTTTCCAATTTTCATATTTCATTCATCCAAGTATCCAACCATTGTATGCTTTATAATTTGTATCATTCAAATTTAAATGAAATAAAATTCTTATTTTTCTTACAATTTGTTATTCCATACTTATTTGGTTAAGTATTTTTTTTCATTTATTTGTTAGATTTCTCATTTCTTATTTTTTCAAATAGTTCCCAAAGGAAAGTTCAATATTTTAGTTTTACTTAGCAAAGAAATAAAAAAAATGTCAAAAAAACAAAAAGAAAGTAAAAAAACAATCTGGCCTGGTTTGGCCCATGCCCAAGGCCCTGCACTGCCCAAGCCCACAGTATTGCCTGAAGCCCACTCGGACCAAGCCCGCGGCATGGCACAACACGGAATGGGCCTACACGGGCTTGGGTCATGGGCCCGGCACGACCCGTTTTACACCTCTATCCACACCTGAAGACGGGCGGAGCTAGAATTTTTTCTTAAAGGGGGCCAAAACCTAGAAAACATGGATAGGGGAGCCAAAAGCTAAGAAACATGAGTAAGGGGGTTAAAATATAAGTGGAGTTTAAATGGGTATTGTGGGAATTTTGAAGGCTCCACCCGTTTTTCCCCTCAACGACCCCCTGGCTCTGCCCGTGCCCGGAGAGTCTAGCGCGAGAACGTGATCAAATGTCCAAATTCCACCACCCTTCCACTTAGAATAGGCGGAGGGGTTATAAGGCTGCCAAACTCCCATAGTAGCGTCGGCACACGCCTAAAGGACATCCCCATGCCCTCCAACCCAATAAACACCCAACGATCTTGCCCGACAGAGCAAAATGAAGGTTCCGCATAAACTCCATTTTACTCTGTCGGGCATATCCATAGGTCTGAACCGTCCCCAGTTCACTCAGTGTTATCGAGGGACATCACCGTACGACCTTGCGGTGGTCCCATGGCTGATCCATGCTCAGAGAGCCTAGCGCGACAAATGTAACCAAATGTCTAAATTCTGCCACCCTTGCTCTTAGACCAAAAAGAGGGTTGATATGGCCGCCAAACCCCCACAATAGGGTCTGCATACACCAAAAGGACATCTGCAGGCCCTCCAGCCCAATAAACTCCTAAATGGAGGTTTTGTATAACCACCATTTTGCTCTGTTGGAGCTATCTATAGGTCTGAGCCGCCCCCGCTTCGCATTGTAGCATCGAGGAACATCAACCTACGATCTTGCGGTGGTCGCATGGGTGATCCATGCCCGGGTGGCCTAGTGCAACACACTTGATCAAATGTCCAAATTCCACCACCCTAGCACTTAGATCAGGCGGAGGGATGATATGGCTGCCAAACCCCTATGGTGGCATCGGCACATGCCAAAATGACATCCCCATGCCCTCCGTCCCAATCAACTCCCAACGGTTTTGCCCGACGAAGAGAAACTGAGGTCCTACAAAACCTTCGTTTTGCTCCATCGGGCCTATCAGTAGGTCTTAACCGCCCCATTTCGCATCGTGGCATGGAGGGATATCTTCCTACGACTTTTTGGTGGTCCCATGGCTGATCCACGCCCAGAGAGAACAGCGCGACAACGTGACTTAATGTCCCAATTCCATCACAATAGCACTTAGACCAGGTAGAGGGGTGATATAGCTGCCAAACCCTTATAGGAGAGTTGGCGCTCGCCTAAAAGACAGCCGCAGGCCCTCCAGCCCAATAAAGTTCTAACGATGTTGCCTGACGGAGCAAAATAGAGATATGAAAAAACCTCCATTTTGCTCTAGGTCTGAAGCTCCCACGTTTTGCACTGTAGTATCGAGGAACATCACCCTACAACTTTGTAGTGGTCCATGGTCTATCCACGCCCGGAGAGCCCATTACAACACACATGACCAAATGTCCAAATTCCACTATCCTACTACTTAGATCGGGCAAAGAGGTGATATGGACGCCAAACCCCCATGGTAGCATCGGTACACACCTAAAGGACATCCCCAGCCCTCTGGCTCAATAAACTCTCGACGGTCTTTCCCAACCAAGCAAAACAGAGGTTTTGCATCTTAGCATCAAGGAACATCAATCACCCTATGAATTTGTGGTGGTCCCACGAACGATCCACGCGCAGAGAACCCAACGTGACACATGTGACCAAATGTCCAAACTTTCCTACAGTAACGTTGGCACACGCCTAAAAGACATCCCCATGCCATGCACTTCGGCCCAATAAACTCTCAACGGTCTTGCCCGATGGAGCAAAACAGAGGTTCTGGGAAATCTCTATTTTGCTCCGTCGAACCTATCCATAGATCTGCACCGCCCTCATTTTGCACTGTGGCATTGAGGGACATCATCCTACGACTTTACAGTGGTTCCATGGCCGATTTACGTCCGAAGAGCCTAGTGCAACACACGTGACCAAATGCCCCAATTCCACTCCTAGCACTTTGACTGGGTGAAGGGTTAATGAGGCTGCCAAACCCTCGCGGGAGCGTCAGCAGTCGCCTAAGAGACATCTCTAGGCCTTTCGGCCAAATAAACTCCCGATTGTCTTGCCCAGTGGAGCGAAGAGGTTCTACAAAACCTCTATTTTGCTCCATCAGACCTATCCATATCGAGTAGTCTAGGAACATTCTCAAGTTATTGATTTTTCTTTTCCTTATATCAATTTGTATGTTTGACTGCATATACTTATTTATGAACGACTGTAGCGTTGATGATGGGTTGTATTTTGTGCCTGCGTATACTTGTTTATGCATGATCATAAATCATACTTCAAGTGGTCAACTTTGTCTCATTGGATTATTGTATTCATCAACAAATGGTACGTCATATTCCCATGTTCAAATAAACTTTTTACATAGCTTTCTTGGCTTAGAACGGAAATTTTCTTGTTTCAAACACTCTTAACTTAAAGAACTAAATCCCTTGTTAAATAAATTAACTGAAAACTAGAAAATCTAAATCTGGAGCAAGGCTACTACATACATTTGATTTGAATAGTTGTTTAGAATCAAAATTTTGAATTGGGAAGAGGAATTCGTGATGATGGTTGAAGCTCGGGTTAAATACAAAATGATTTATCGGTTATTCACTTACTGGGTTATCTTCCAATAGAAGGCATTGAAGGTGCAAGGTACTTAGGTAAATACCAAAGACATGTTTTTTCAGTCATGACCACTGGTTGTATATGGAGGCACGAACAACCATCGGTGACCTTGAAGATGGAACTGGTTTCCGTAGCAAAGACTTAGCTTGAAGGAAGCAGCAGAGGTGGTGCTTGGACAGAGATTTTGGGAAGAAGCCTCGAAGAAGCAACCGTGTTGATGACGGAACTGGTTTCCATAGCAACAACTCAACTGGAAGAAAGCAGAAGAGGTGGTGCTTGAACAGAGATTTTGGGAAGAAGTCTCGAGCAAGAAAGCAACCGTGTATTAAATATGAGGGGGCATTTTGATCAAATTTTAGGTGACGTGTACACGGGGTGGAGTTGAATTTAATTACACATTTATATACATTATACAAGGCTACACGTAAATTTGAATTCTGCGATAAAAAAACCCCGTGAATTTGATTTAGAAATCCCGTAAATTAGAGTGAATTGATTTAGACCATTTGTTGAATGACAAGGTTTGAAGATATAAACAATTATAGATGAAAAACGTTAGCAACACTGCTGCATGCTTTCGTGCAGGCCAAATATCAATTTTGAACAAGAAACAAGCAAAAGAAGATGAATATATTACATGTTTGACAGAGACCATTTTGTCACTCAAAATATATGATGATGAATTAACCTTGAATTTGTTGATGATGATTACATTATTTACTGTATCGTAGGGTGCCTCTAGTGTCTAAACAGTGTAACTTATGCTGGGTTTGCATACAAAACTACCACATTCTTGCCATTAACGTTATGTTTGGATCATGGTTTTTAAAACCAATTCAGAGACCAAATCGGTCAGGGGTCTGGTTACCAGGTCGAACAAGGTTGAACAGTCCGACCATTCAAACCGAACGGTCGGCCCATTCTGACAAATAAAAATAAATAAAAACCGGTCAAGACCATTCGAACTGTTTGAACAGTTAACCACCTGGGTCAGCAATTTACTGACCAAAATCAACGGTTTTTGGAAAAAATCCGGCTTTGGGTAAAACTAGAATCGGTCACCTGCCTGATTCCCGGTTTTTCCGGTTCAGTCCGGTTTTGAAAAGCATGGTTTGGATAAGCTTTAGGCTTTGTGCTTTCTAAAGCCCAAAAGTGTTTCGGCTTTAGATTACTGTTTCTAAAAGCAAATGTTGAGTGTTAACAAACGCTCAAAACAATTCTCAATTTTGTTTTCCACAGCACAAATGTAAAAAGCAAAAGCTTATCCAAAAGAAGCCAAGTTTTTCAGTTCTTTTCTTTTTTCAAAAGTTGTGCCTCACTTTATTCAGGTATGTAGCTTTGTTACGCCTTTGACTCAAACTCTAGTATCCATTGTGCTTGTTACAAACTTACAATTTCGTTTTTAAAACACCGCTTATATCTACCATTCATCTGTAAACTTCACGTATTTCAACGACAAATTCTCACATGTAAATTTCAAAACAAAAAATATAGAATACAACCTATGACTAGAATTTAGTTTTCTTTTGGTTTTGGGAATTCCGTGAGGCAACATTGATAAGGCCAATTCAAGTTGCCCAACGCATCAAAACCTGTTGTGATCCTACTGTCCTAGCACTTTCCGAAGCTTCCAATGCCTCACTTGATGGATCAGACGGTGTACTGCTTGCGGTGTCATTATGCTTATGATGCACCTGCTCTAGCTCTTGGCCAGGAAAAATTTCAGATTGCAAAGAAGGGGCAATCTTGTTCACATTTAACCATGTCAATTCCCACAAGCTGTCTCCACCTAGAGCACTCCTCTGCACAAGAATTTCCCTTGTCTTCATCACAAGCAAGGTGTTCTTAAGGAGCTCAGGGACTAGTTCCTGAAGCTTCTCACTCTTCTTCCCCCTAACTTTGGCCTTGGCATATTTCTCCATATGGTTAAGAACCCCTAACCACAATTTGCAGAATGTATTTTCCTGTGAGAGCAAATGAAGTAACTGTAAGAATACCTTCGCTAAGAGTTTCATAGCAAGGGCAAGTGTGCCTTCCATGTTCCTATAGTCCTTTGGTGAATGCCCCTGTGCTATCTCTAGCAAGTCATCAAGCATAGTAAAGATGACCACATCAAAACATTGCAACCACAAACTACGTGAAAGGCATAACCCCTCCGCCCCTGTCAAGCACCTCTGCAATGACAAGATGGCATGGTTCCGAACCTCTTCTCTGGGATCCAAACACACCTTTCTCAGTCCCTGAACTAGCCTCAGCCACATCTCCCCTATATCATGAGACAATTTAGTAGCTGCCTCTCCCACAGCCTCCTTGGTCTTTTGAGACCACTGCAAGAGACAGGTGAGAGATCCTGCCATCAGATCCAATGCACGGAGAGATCGGTCTACCTGTCCAACCCGAGACTCAGCAAACTGCCTTGATGCATCAACACAAAGAATATAATTTGTTGGTATGAGATGGGCTCCATCATACATGACAAATGTAAGTGCTTCAAATCCTGCTTCTGATGCTTCTGGATGGCGAGCTGTGATGGAAAGAAGGGATGTAATGGTCCGCCAACCCATCTGAGATCTGATGTGAGTAGCATTTGCTTTCACAAGGCGCATTACTTCCTGTGTGATCTGTTCACAATATGCATCAGCAACCCGTGCGTCAAGCTTCAAAACCAGTTGCAGTGACCTAAGGAGATCATCAACCAAATTCTCTTTATATGGGAGCAACCGCTGACATATCCGCAGGAGTCCAGACACAGCCTTCTCCACCAGAGCACAAGGCATCACAGTTGTCTGAACAATGTTGGATATATGATCATACACAAACTGCCAGAGGAGAGTGATTCTGTCACGATTGTTCAAAGTAATTGCTATGAGCAACTCCAAGCAGAACACTGCAGTGTCTTCATCCTCAGGAGAGGTGTTTCCCTTGTGAGGTCTCCCTGCAGCCCAGATGAGAGCTCGAGCAAGATCCAACAGAGATTCAGCTTGCAGGAATTTGCTCTCTGTAAATATGCTGTCTATATGGCATTTTTGAATTGTCTGAAGAGTACGTTGATGAGCCTCTAGTTGCTGTTCAGTTGGCTTTGACCTTGGCTCTTCTGTGTCTAGAGACAAGAGCTGGCTGAACCGGCCCATCAGTCCAGAGGATCTTCGAGGAGTACCCATTGAAGGTATCTGAGATGCAGACAAGGAACTGGTGACAGGTTTCCCTTGACCAGGATCAGCACAGAACTCTGAATCATCAACTGCATCATTGGCCACACGAGCAGGGAGAAGACCAAGCTTGTGCAGCCTCAAGATGCAGTCCAAGATGTTTCTCCAGCCTGTGCGAATATAATCACCATATCTATTTGTTATGGTAAAAACTGTTACAGTTGCCATCCTAGCTTTCATGTCATCACCAAAGGCTACAACAGGTTCCTCACCAGAAGATGGATTCAGGAGGGTTGTAAACTTACAGAGAGACACAACTAGATCATCCAATACATCTTCCAAATGATGACATGCTGAAATCTTTGCAACAGCTAAGAATCCATCCACACATGTTTGGAAGACCTCTTCATGCTCTGCATGATCAAACACTACTGAGATAGCAGCAATTGTTGGACCAGACATGACGGCAAACATATCATGATCAAGGAAGGCTCTGGAGTCACACACAATGAATGGAGCAGTTTTTCTGGACTTGCGCATTAGATCAACCCAGCGGCTCGGTGTCATCTCAGGGAAACCTGCACCTTGTTCTGGGGTTGTCCGGATCTCATTCTTGCAGATTGAATGGTACAGCTCTGACAGAAATTCTCGAGGAAGGTCATTCCCTCCATTAATATGTCGGTTGTTACGGATGAAATCCTCTTCAGTCATCTTCTTCTTAACCTGTACATTGTGCTGATCAGTGTTCAACATTATAAGTGAATAGGATAGCAAGAGAGCAGCATCCTTGTTGGCTAAAATCTGGGGTGATTGTTCATAATATCTCTCAGAAAATGCCTCAAGAACCCTCTGTATTTTCTGTGACTCTCCAGGCAACCTGAAAGTTTCTAAAAACAGTCGCAAGGCAGTATCCAAATTCATGTCTTGGAAATCAAAAGTCCCAGCAAATTCATGAAGCACCTGAACACAAAATTCATCATGATTTCCTAGGAAATCCCCAACAAGATTCTTATCTAAACCAGCTGTGTACCTGAAGAAGCAAGCAACACTTTGGGGGTCGAGTTTATCAGGCAAAAGATGAGTTCCTTGAAGAAACTCTAGCCCCTTCTTAGGGTCCCGGTTAAAGTGATCGGCACCCATCATCAATCTTCTCTTTATGTACTTTCTCCGACGGACAAAAGGAACCCAATGATTGGAATCCTCATAGTTGTCACACTTCACTGTCCAGAATGGTGTATATTCCTCCAGATCTGATGAAGCATGTTCATTAACAGATGATCCATTGCCTATCCTCTCCGCCATTCCTTGAATCACTGCAATCAAACCATCCAGAGCAAGGATGTGCATTGCAGACAAAGGGCAATTTACAGGAAATGCACTTTTTGATAATAGGTTAGCAAGGTCTTCAAAAACATTACTACAGGTAATGTCACAATCCAGATTGGCATACATCTCTGCCATAAATGCTTTCTGCCTACAGAAGTCAACAAGAGCCTCCATGGCAACTTCCTGCTGTTGGTATGAAGCCCCATGCCTGTTTTGTGCTAGCCTCAAAATCACACAGGAAAAGAAAGCCTCAAGTTGTAGTTTTAGCTCGCTACGCAAATGGAGATACAGATTGAGAACAATGCTACATACCATTGAAAGAATCAAAGGACTCATTGATAAGCCAAACTGCATGAGATTACGGAATAATTCATCCTGCATCAAAGCCAATAACTTAGGATGTTTTCGGATAGAGGGCCCACCCAATTCAACAGCTGAATTTATCAATCCCAAAGCAAAAAGAGGCACATCTTCATCAAAGGCCATGGAATTTGATCTTGGACCCATTCCAATGTGCTCAGCAATATTTAACAGGGAACACAAAAAATGAAATATCTCCACCATGCAAGGGACCCCATAAGGCTCTGTCATGAGATCATTTGAAGCAGTATCCTTCCCATTACTGGCCCCAATTGTGTTTTCATCCATCAAGCTTCCCATCAAACCAGTTGAAGCATTTGAAGAAAAACCAACAGAAGGAAGTTGGCTGTCATATTCAGAACTTCCATTTCCATTATCTAATTGTTTACCCCCAAAATTGTAATCCTTGTCTGCCCCACCCACCTGTGCAAGAAATGGCACACTCATATGTTAAGATGTAAATCAAAACTAAGTAGGCATGTGGACTTGTTACAATGCCTTTGTTGGTTAGGTATTTCATGCCAACATAAGGCATTTTCTGCCAGAAAATACAGTTCTTATTTTCCTGTTCTCAAAAGTAACTTATCAGAACGATTATTTGCACTCCAAACAACCCTTCAATTTTTACTTTTTCTGTATGTGCCCCTGGGATGGTGGAAGGGAATTTGAGAGATGCACAGCAACATGAAGTCTCTTGTCTTTACCACCAACCCAACAACTTCTTTTTAGGTAAGAGTTTTAAAGCAACTTTAAGTTTCATTCAGAAAGCTTTTCCTTCCTTGTTAAAGGAAAACCAAAAATAAAAAGAGCCAATTTCATAAACCTATTCTTCTGAAAAATGTAGTATGAAGAACCACAACATGTTACATTCATTAAATATACTCTTCATTTACATGACAGATGCCACCTCAAAGACATATGGTCTATGTCCATCAAATGTTTAGACCACTGTAATGATTGTATATCCTGACCAGTAAAGGCGGTTTTTTTTTTTTCTGAGGAAGAGTTATTTCTCTCCAAACCAGAGCTTCAAAATTTCTTACTTAGCATGAATTTTGGGCTAAGAACCCATTTAAGGTGGCCTAAATCTAGATTAATAATTGATGAGTCAGATATCCAAATAGACAGGAAATATTTCACTAATGTATCAATACCTCTTGTTTCACAGAATAAATGCCTCTAGATGGTAGGTGTTCCATGTTCTCAATATCTGGCAGGTGCGAGAAAATACAACGAACAAGTTCATGCATTGTATGTCGTGCAATCCGCTGCAACAACTCACCTTTACTTCCTGCTTGATGAACTATGCGGAAACACGTATTTACTATGGTGCAGACATGCTGATTACTCAACACAACTGAAGCCTTACTTTTCATGCAAGCCAGGAGAACCTGAAGTATTTTCATCAGTACCACTTCTTCTGAGGAAGGATCAGTCACCTCAAATCGGCAACTTGTCACAGCATCAACTACCAAATGCATTGCATCTTTAACATTCGTGGTATTTAGATCAAGCACATCAAGAGTAAGAATCTTGTATACAGATGACAAAGCAACACCAGTGATTGGTGCACCAGTTTCATCAGACCGAATGACATCCAAGAATGGCTGGAGGTACACAGCTGGATTCATTGTATTCCACTCATGGTGCCATGAAAATATTTTCTTTCTTAATGCCTTCAAAGACTGGATAAGAGAGTGCTCAAGCTGATCATCACCCAACATATAACGACCACCCCACCTTACATTTCTCCTCATGACAGATAACACAGCACCTACTTCTGAATTCACCATACATGCTGAGGCACCTCTGCTAGATGAAGAGTTACATTCTTCAGGCTCTTCATCAATCGCCTTGATTCCTGACTGCAGCTTTAGACGCCCCATGTCTATACTGAGTTGCTGATAAAAACCAAAATGTTATTTGAGCTATACTGGGAAACAATACAAAGAAGACGGAGAAGGCATGAGGAGGTGGTGCATGATTCCCTTTGCCGTAAATAATACAGCTGAGCAGATACTCTACAAATCCCATATCATCAATGGGATAAACAACCACCACATAGGAGGTGAGAAAATTGGATTTTGGAAAGGTAAAGTATGGTACAAACTACAGAGCATTCCATTAGTAACCACTGCTGAAATGCCACAAATCTGAAAAATTTTTGTGAGTACCTAGCTCTTACTTAAGTATCAATATTATCAATCTTATTTAAAAATTAAAATTAGCTCGCCCATTCTTTACTTAGAATTTTAAGCTGTCATTGCTTGTAGTATGCTGACGAACAAAACAGATTAATTTAACAAATCATATAAGGTTCCTATGAACATCTTTCAACAAATCTGTACAAATGTCTTGTGATTAATCAGAGATACTACGAATGAATTAAAGGAAATATTATCTAAAACAACAATAATTGAAATTTTGAAATAAGAGCACAACAGCGCTTAATGGGAGCCAAAAAGAAAAAGAACTATATATATAAAAATATAATAAAGAATAGCTACATAAATAGTAAAAAAAATCCTTTCCGCATGGACTTGAATTCCTGGATAATCTTGGATAAAAGGGCTCGGAGTAAGAATGAATTCAAAAGTAGAAGCTAACACAATCTTGATCTGAAAATCAAAAGAACCGGACCTTAGATAAGAATCATGAAAACAATGTGGTCTGCAAACGTTCAACGATTCGGATAATATCAAGCTTGTGTAAGAAATTATGAATGTAAACTGAGAAGAGGAACTAAAATGAAGCAAGACAAAGCTATTTGAGGAATCTGAATTCACAGAAACGAAGAACTACAACTTAGAAACGAACAAATTCGAAAATATAAGATGAAATCCAGAGAGGTGAAGTCCAACTGAGCGAACAACTAACCTTGTCTGACGAAAACCTCCGGAGATCGCCCCGACGAGACCCTAGTCTGACTGTCTGAGAGGGAACTGAAGGGGAACCCAAGCAAAGCTGATTAAGCTTCGGTCGTTAGCATCGACCCGGTCGATTAAGCTTGGATTTGGATCGTTTGCATCGATCTGGGCTCTTTCGTGGGGCTTCGCTCTTTTGGGAGTTGAAGGAAACCTCCTCCTTGGGTTTAGGCTTTCTCCGTCCTACCGACCCGCATATAGATTCATGGGCTGTGTTTCCCCAGGGTGGAAGTGGAAGTACGAGTACGGCGTTTTCAACCTATCATTGACTGCCTCTTGAACGGGTGAACCGGAGATTTAATTATGATTCCACTTTGGATCAATCCCGAACTCATTATATTCAAAGAAATCGTCGATCCATCCATAAGAATAAAGCATAGTTTTAAAAAAGAAAATTGTATAAAATGGTTTTTCAGTATTTTTTTTACACTCGCCACAATTTTTCAAAACTCTAAAATTCATCGTGTCAGTAAGTTATTTTTTAAAACTCACCTTCTATTTCTACATCGTAAATGTTTCTTAACAGAGGTATTCGTGTTACTATAAATAACAATTTTATGACTAAATCACCCCTGAATGGTGAGTTAGAGAAAAATGGTCTTTTTCATTTTTCAATTTTACTTTTCTTTTACATTTTAGTGTTTAATTATAATTTCTAATGTTTTTATAATTTCTGTTTTTTACATTTTTCTATGTTCTACAATCTATAAAATTTTCTGTATTTTTTATTTATCTACAATTTTTTGTGCTTTTCTACAGTTTTTGGTGTTTTTTCTACAATTTTTATTTTTCAATTTCTATAGTTTCTATAATTTGAAAATAATTTTTTATTTTGTGTGCAATTTCTATAATTTTTTATATTTTTCCAATTTTTGTGTTTTTAAGCATTTTATATTTGAAAATATTTTTTGAACTTTTTCTTTTTTTTCATATCTAAATAAAAGTATATGTATATATTTTATATTTTTCTATGAAGGTTAAAATGGTAATRTRTTAWCASYYGTTAKTCTSTTTAAYGTYAAGTTAGTGACATGGTGAGTTTTAGACATTTTGAAAAGTTGTGTTCAACTTAAGAGAAATGCTGAAAACTCATGGTGAGTTTTTGACATTTTCCCTTTTAAAAAWGGATAAATTTCTTAAACTACCTTAACCTTATCGTTTAGGTAATTGACTAAGTATATCCCTATTAATTGATTAAGATCCCTATTGTGTAAGGTTATCCGTACGTGGAAGGGTTGAAATGTCAGTTTTACCTTCTTTTAAATCTTTCCTTGGCATTTTCACGGATTTTGGAATCCAATTCCTGCTCAACCCTCTCTCTCTCTCTCCCTCCCCATGAAGGAATTCATATTCACCAAAATGTTGTCCGACTTTGCAACCTTGAACCAAATTTGATATTCAAGTGAGTTACAGATTTAGCTTTTAGATGCATGTTGTCCGATGAAGGAGGTTCGATCCAAATCGCCACTACTAAGAGTTACATCAACAATGGTAGGGGAGGTGAGCTGTAGGTTGAGGAAGAAGATAAAGAAGAAGAAGAGAGAGARAGAGAAAGAGTTGGTTTTCTTCCCCATCGTGGAGAATCAGGCACCTTGTATCGGTGGTGGAGCTTGCACAGCACCTTTTCAAGAGGGATGATCAGTTATCTGCCATTGTCCTCACACTTCAACTAACTGCAACCTCAACCTACATAGAATCACTCGTCTCCACCCTCACCCAGGTCCAATTCATCAGCCTCCCCCATGTGGACCTATCTGGAATGAAGAATCGATCAACAACCTCCCCCATGTGGATCTATTTAGAATTCGACAAGATCATGAGGTGGCTCAATCAAAAGCCTTCATATTTGCTCGAGTAAAGTGGTTACCGATTCCTCTGGACTCTGCATCAGCCATCAAAATCCATATTTGCTCCTTTGAGTGATTACACCTACACGAATCTAAAGGAGGTTCTACCAAACTAATTCATGAATTTGTGCAATTACACCTACACAAATCTAGATTTCCTCTGCCCTCTAACCCTAGCCATTAACTCACCTCGCTCCCTGTCTTCTTCAAACCCTCCCCAAGACCTGCCCTCATGGCTGACCGACCCTATTCTCCCATTTACCAAGACCAATCTCCACCACTCCAAGATCGCCCCCACCATGGCTGCCATTAACGACCTCGAGCACAAGTTAATCCGCAAACCCCAGTTTGCTTGTACTTCGATTGTCCTCCAGGCATTTATTCCATAACGACCCTAGGTAAGAGAGAGAGAGAGAGAGAGAGAGAGAGAGAGAGAGAGAGAGAGAGGGAGGGATGAGAGAAGAGACCAGAAGGAGAGAATCCATTACCTATGGCCTAACCTAAAACAAAGCTCTCAGAAACTCACAAGTGATTACCTATGGCCTAACCTGAAACAAAGCTCTCGGTGACTCACGAGATATTCTTCATTGTCCCAAACCTAGATATGAAGGAAAAACATGGAGAGAAGAGAGATAAAGGAGAGAGGTCAAAGCAGGAAGGGGCTGCCCTCGGTCAAGAGGAAGGGGACAAGGGTAATATTGGGTTTTAAAAAAAATAAACGTCACACAATTGTTAAGTAGTAGGGGTATACTTAGTTCATTGTTAGAAATAGTATACGGGTTTTGACAGAATATTAATGGATGCTAAGTGTAGAGATAGTCAATTGTTAGAAATAGTAGGAGTAGTGTTACACAATAGTTTAAGCAGTAGGGGTATACTTAGTTAATTAGCTAAACCATAAGGGTAGTTTAAGAAATTTATTCTTTTAAAAATGGGTTGAAAACAAAACCATTTTGGCCACCGGTTCTTGGGTCAAATGGTCTAACTCTCTAGTCTAATGTTGGGTCAGACGGTTATGGGTCGAAAATCAAACCCAAATTCATGATTGGGTTGGGTATAGGGAACCTCAGTCAGGTAAATCTACCCATATAACTCAAGATTGATCTTGGGTATATTGTTGAGACCTCACCTCGTCAATCTAGAACCCCAACCTTATTCAAGTAGTGATTGGATGTAATATAGGTAAAAAAGAAGGGTCCTCCTCTTTCTAGGATGGTTATCCCTAAGCAATCACACCAGGGACCACCTATAATCAAGTCAAAAGGACAATGTGCAACGCAATATGTGTGAAGTGTGCGCAAACCAAGTGAGGCCCAAAAGTTAGAAAATAATCCTTGGAACTTAGTGTTTCAAGTTTGGTCCTTTGAGAAATTTCCCAATCGAGTTGCCAATTGTCGCTGTCTGACATAAAGGGTGACGATATATGGAATCACCACCTAAATTTTTGGGAATTAGAAATTTAGGAAAACCCAGAATTTTTCAAGAWAAACAATTATTTTCTTGGAAACTCATAGCCCAATAGGAATTAGAGACTCTTTGGGTCTGGGGACCAAGGTACGATGTGGAATGTGTTAAACACCCCCTACACACCCAGTTGAACTAGCCTCTACTTCACTAATGTTCCAAGGAAAATTTTATAATTTCTAAGTTTAAAGAAATAAACACACTAAAACAAAATCCTGAGAATTAATAATTTTAACCATATAACAAAAAGACATAAGAAAACCACATAAATAATATAGCATCTAAACAAATGGAGAATGAAACAAAATACCAAGACTAATATGAAAAAGATTTACTAATAAAAAAGGAAACCAAATACAATAATGACAAATTATGAAACTAAAGATGTTGTGATATAGGCAACCAAGAATTTTGAAATTAAATACTTGTAAAAGGAGAAAGTTAGAAACAATAAGAGAATATCTTACAAACTAAAAAAGCAACCAAGCTTATTGGATACCCTTACTTGCAATTTGATGGACCTCAATAAGAGCAACCTAGAGAATGCAATCAGGTCTTATGCAATTCCCCAAAGAGATCCCCACTCTCTATGATAATATTTGCTAGAAATAACAAGAGGACAAAGGGGGCTTAATGAACTAACTTGGACTCATCAGCTTTGACATGCAAATGATTTAAACTATTGAATTCTGTAACCTAAGAGTGCTAATGATCCTAAATAAATGAATGTAAGGGGAATACCAAGAGAGGCTGAATATGTGGAAAACGATCTAAATGAGGGATGGCTCGTTGGTGTGTTAGCTGGTTCATTCCAACATTGATGTGGAATCGAATCCTGCAATCAACACTTTGGGGAAAAAGGGGTCAAGGGGGAAGTTATTAATGGTGTATGGCACCAATCAAATACCAAAAAACAGGTGCTAATGATCTTAAATAAATGAATATAATGGGAATTAAAACCAAGAGAGGCTGAAAGAAAAGTGAGGCTGAATTCGTAGACTAAAACAAAAAGGTGGATGATTAAGTGCTATGTGAGGACTGACCTGATTAAATGATTGTGATGGAAACCTATTTAAAAACATAAGAGATAGATGGAAGTGAGAATCCTACAAGTTGAGCTTACTATGACTACGATGGACCAAACTACACAAGCTCTTTAGGTGAAAGGCAAAAAATAAAACTTTATACTAGAGGGATAGTTAAAAAATAGTTGTAGATAAATTGAGGCACTTAACTAACATTTAATGAACTAAAGACTAAAGACTAAAGACTAAGGTGTGTAGAAAATAAGAGAAAAATTAAGGAAAGAAAAGAAAAAAAGAGAAAGAAACTACCACTAATGACTGATTATATGCTAAAACAAGGTAGGAACAAAAGTCACTAACAAAAGAAAAAAAGAATAGCACTAGAAAAACTAATGGCTAATATGTGCTGAAAACAAAAGATGAGCAAACTATAACTAATGAACTAAAAACTGAGATCTATAAAAACCAAGAGAGGAGTACAGCGATCAATTACTCAAAAGAACAAAGATTTTTTAATTAATAATGCAGGATTCATCTTTGGATGACCTAGAGGCTAATCCTATTCGACTTCTTATGATGGAGTAGTGATTACCTACCGATTGAATGAACTAAAATCACCATCATCCAACTAGGAACTTAGAAATATTGCCATACCTTTGGGATTGCTTTGGCAAATTAAAATCACCTCGTCCCTTTAGGTCCCCATTCATTTACAGTAAATAAGAGGGAGAAAGTTGGTCAATGGGTATCTCCTATCTATTGGCCAACTTTATAGCATTCTTTTTTCATTAACTATTGGGCCCATTGTAAAGAGAGCCTCACTTATTTGGGTAAAACTTACTCATCTGCCATGTGGGTAAGTTATTTTCCCAAAAATTATAAAACATAATAAGACAAGTTTGTCCATTTTGACATTAACTTTTTATGGGTAAAAATGTAACTATATAACTTACCTGAGAATCAAAAGAACATAAATG